ATGGATGAACTTGATCTGTGTGTGCTTTTGTTCTTTGGAAGGAAGCTTTTTCCTTTCATCCTAGGAGAAGGTAAAGAGGGCTGTTGCCATAGGAGATCTATTGTGTAGCCACCAATCTGGCCAGGTAATTTGCTGAGTAATTAATGAAGACAGTTTAAACAAACTAATTCTGTAGCCTCTAGTGTTTGCTATGTATCTGAACTGTTCCTGAATTGAATTTTGTATAGATCAATGTCTTCCCCTCTCACGCACATTTTTTGATAACCACTTCAGTGGTAAAACCAGCTGTGCACATTATGAAAAGAGAACATTGCTTTTTGTAAGTATAATGCCTAGGGAGGGAAAAAAGCACAAAAAGATAAAATGTGTGGAGCAGATCTGTTGGATATCTAATCTAATATATCACTGGATACAGTGTGTACATGGGTACAGTCAAGCCAAGCATCTTACCCCAGTTACCTGAGGATTCATGCATGGTGGTTTTTAAGTTTATTAAATTGTATTCATATATGTGTTGTACTTTCGGATAACCTAGTAACAAAACTTATTTGAGCCATGTACAACACATTAAAAAAAACCCTATTAAGTATAAACAGTAGCTAGAAATAGCACATAATAAAACCAGTAGCAAAAAGAGCTGGTTTGCTTTAGTGGTTAGATTGTCAGAATAGGATTCAGGAGACCGGAGTTCAAATCTCCATTTGGCCATCAGACTTATTTGGCCTGTCACAGTACATCAGCCTGACCTACTTAGAGAACTGTTGTGAGGATAACATGCAGAAGAAGAGAGCAATAAAAGTTGCCCAGAGATCATTGGAGGGAAGATGAGATATAAATGTAACAAATAAATATAAATAAGAACACTCAGCACATCAAGCCAAAGTAATACCTCAGGTGTCAGCAAACATAAAAAGGTCTTAACCTGGTTCTGTATGTGCCAGACAAGCCTTCCACAGGAGAGCATTCCACAAAAGGTATGCACCACTGAATATTTGTTGCATGTCAGTATTTAAGATCAGGTTGTGATTTTCAGGTTGTGATTTAGGTTGTGATTTTCTGCATGCAAAGCATGTGCTCTGCCACCTAGGAGTGGCCCCTCCCAGTGAGAAATGGCTTAAGAATTGAGTACTGTATAAGCTTTGAAGAGGTAATCAAGTATGGTTTAATATTATATCCTGTTGTTATAAAGCTGTGGTTCCTTTGAGAGTACACAAAGGAGTGATTGATCATCTATATTGGAACAGGAATTAGTGACTTGGTTTTTATGGTTGCTTGTAAGTACTTTACACCGTAACTGCCCCACGTGTTCAATTTTAATTTCCTCAGGAGAACCAAAGGAGCGTGGAAATGCCAGGTTGCTAAATTGCTCACTATATTTGCTAATGATAGATCTTTTTATTCCTCCGTCTCTTTCTGCCCTGCTGTCCCACAAAGTATAGGGCATGATCCCTTCTCTCTCCCTCTTCCATTTAAAAGCTTACTTCTCAGGAGGTTTCTTAAATGTTGCATATGGAAACCAGAGTTATGTTTTGGTTGTCTAGCCTGCTGTCCTCTTCTAAATTGGAAAAGCAGGCTTGGAGCATTTGTAGAGTGAAACAAATGAGGAGTGTTTAATTCTCCTCAGACCTAATTTTTCAGTTTTCCCTCAGCCAGGTTTCTTGAGTTCCTGCTAGTTAAATGAGGGAAATAGCAAGGCATGTTCAAGTGTTGGGAATGAAAAAAAAAGAGGCCACTCAAGGGAGAATGATGTACTGTGTCCTTCTTTGTACTTTAGCAGCAAATGTCCAGGATTTGTCACTAAAAGGGTAATTTTTTGAGGCCATCTTCTTATGTCATCCAGAACAGAGTTCAGCTTTTATTTAAAAGCAAGAAGCATTTGATTGGCTACATAAGAGTAAAGCTCTAATAAGCATTGACTTACAGGTAGAATGTTACATGTCCAAAGTTAGTAATATACAGTAAATAGAAGTTAAATTTTATTTTATTTGCAAGGATGATACAATCTAAAATAAGACTGAGTTGTTTCCATAACCTTCAGAAAATAGTTCTTACTTCTGTTCTCCTGGTTAGAGATAATGATCAGAAGTTCATTCACCAACTGCAGTAGCTAAGAAAGAGGTTTCAAGAATTCACTGTATCATTATACAAAATCTTATCTGGAAGTAGCTTTTTTTATTTCCGTGCTGATCTGTGATCTTGGAAGCCTGTAAGATTTCTTGATTGGAGGCTGTCCCTCAGGGTGATCAGTTGGGTCTCCTTGAAATACTTCATAGCACACTTTTTGCAGAGGGCAGGCCACTTTTTAAACTATTTGAAACACACATCAGAGAACATGTTTAAGCTTGTATGCATTAGCAGAGGAAGTAGCGGCAAGGCAGGCTTGTGGATTTAGCCCCTGGAAATTGGAATGGTTAGTAGAGCACACTTCCTCTTTTGCAAATAAATCATATTCACTCTTCTATTTTGGTATTTATTAGAGACAGATATCGAGAAAGCTGGTTGTAAGAAAAAAGGAGAGAGAGACGTTGTCTAGAGAGGCGGGGTAAAAATCGAATAAATAAGTAAATAAAGAGAGAGACCCCTCTCTCGGGAGTGCTGTCCTTCCTGGTGACCGCTGAGAAAGAAAGCCAGACCCCACCAGTTCCCCCACCCCGGAAGACAAGACCTCCCAGACAGGACCTGGGGAATTTGGAGGGAGATTTGAAAAGACTCATAATCACAGAATCCGGGAATATCTCGGCGGGCACAGGAGAAAAAGAGGAGAAATAGAGGAGACGGGGTTAGGGGATATACAAAAGGGGGAAGGAGAGTTACCAGTAGGCTGGGAGTGGATCTGAGTAGAAGAACCATGGACAGGGAAGACAGAGAAACTGTGTGTCCCCAAGGAGGAAGCTGATGCCCGGAGGAGGCGTGAGTTAGACCCCAAACCATCTTACTGGAGCGAACGAGAGACTAAGGAGTGGAGGAGGAAGGTGAGAGAGGAAAGAGAGAGAGTGGAAAGAGAATGAAGGGAGAGGGTGGAATGGAGAATTTGGGAGAACCATCAGAGAGAGTTCCTGGAGCCCCGTGGGAGACGGGGAACCCCCCAGGGAGTGTGACTGGGTGGACATTCGAGAAGAAGACACTATCCCCCTACTGGAAGGAGAGGAGGGAATACCACTGAACTCCGATGCCCCACCAGAGTGGTCCAGTCCCTGGAATGGCCAGGGTAAGAACCATTTCAAAGCCGAAGACTGGAACCCCCCTTCAGACCTGTTTTCAAAGGAGGAGAATGTTTGGAATGCTTTTGTTGACACTGGACTGTTATTAAATACCCCAATAAATGTTACCCCCATTTCTAAACCAAGGAGAGTGGCTGCATTATTTGAAAAAGAGTTGGAGCAAACTACTGAACCCTCACACTGGCATTTATTAGAGACAGATATCAAGATAGGAGAGATGTAATAAGAACCTTGATTCTGCTTAACTGAAGTGTAGATGCAAGGAGCCGTGGCTCCCACTTCACATCTTGAAAACAATGGTGCCTCCTCATTCTCTCAGAGAAGGTCCAGAAAGAAAAGGTGAGAAAGGAGAAAATTACATTGGCGATCATGAGAATATAAGTTTAGGTTGAAGGAAAGTCTGCATAGGCCAGAGCAGGTAAGGCACAGCCAGGAACTCTGACGTGGTCCCTTCTCTCTCCCTCTTCCATGTAAAAGCATGCATCTTCTTCAGTGTAAGTTGAGTTGCACCCGGTTGTCTGAAACAATACAAACAGATAGAAAACCATCTTCAGTGATGTTCCCTGGTTAACAGGAAGGCATGCTTACTCACGGAAGTTTCAGTGTCAGGAAGCAATAAGTAGAAGGAGGAAAGAGCTGGGTGACATGCACCTCTCAGTGAAAAAAATTGAGTTTAGAAAGGACATTCTGTTTACTGTGGCCTCCTGCCAGTCTCCTCATTTTTAAAATATAGGGATAATAACTTTAGGACACATGTTCATATATACTGTATATATGGATATACATATCTGAATATTCAACTATTGACCCTATGTGTTTGAATTTTTTTTCCAGAACAGAGGTGGGAAATGTGTTCCCACAAGGTGTTCTTGGATTGCAGGTCCTGTTAGCTGCAGCCTGCACAGTCAATAGTGAGAGGTGGTGGGAATTGTAGTTCACAACACTTCAACAACTGTACATTTCATGTCCTGTTCTAAAGCATGGGAAAGTAATCACCAGAGGCCCTGGGGCCACACACATTCATCCATAGGCCTTGGGGAGCACCATCTCTCAAAATTTTTCTTTACGAAAATGAGATTTTTCCTGCTGGAAAAGACATTTGCACCCTTTCTTGACATCTCCTTCTCCTTTTTCCTCTCCCTCCATCCTGGGAACCTCTCAAAACATTGCAAAATTACCCCACATGATACCCAGAGAACACAAGGGGAAAATTTATGGCAGTTTAGGGGTCTGGAGGTTATAGAAGACCCCTGGGCTCTCAGCTTGCCCTCAGAGCACATGTTGTTCATCCCTGCTGTAGAATATTCTGTTAAGTGTCATTGATAAAACAAGGGGAGGGGACATAGCTCAGTGATAGAAAAATATTTGAAATTCAGTTCAAGAGCTGGTCTAAGAAAGGCTTTTGCCTCTGTCAGCTGGAGTTGACTATGCTACTCTGGATGGACCAGTAGAAGGTTGCTTCATATGCTGTAAAGCTGCACTTACTTAATAAAGAAGCTTCAGATGACTGTTTTGCAGATTTTCCCAATGGGAGATCATCATGCCAGCCCTTTTGATGAAAATTTCCATACTGGGCTGAAGGAGAAGTTTTCTTAATGAAGTACTTATTTATGCAGATGAGCCAAGAGAATTGTGGCAATAGAATTAATTGCATTTCTAAAGTGGATGAGTTTGGTTTTTAAAAGCATCTGGCAGCTCAAATATATCAGCAGTCCAGCACTGCATTTTTTTTAAATGGCCTTTCAATTATCATAATTGTATTCTCATTTCCATCTATAGATTTTGGGACTTCTCCAAGCCTGATCCTCTGCTTGAGACTGTGGAGCATCATACAGAATTTACTTGTGGTCTGGATTTGAGCCTCTATCACCCAGGCCAGGTAAGAAGAAACATTCCTGAATTCAGGAATAGTAATATTCTGATAATATCGCAGGTAGCTTTTGGAAGAAAAAAAGTCATATCTGAAATGTCTTAGTTTATATGCCGTAATTACCTCTGTTTTCATTTCTAAAAAATGCTAAGTGACCTAAAATACCGAAGCAAATACAGTGGTGCCTCACATAGCGACGTTAATCCGTGCAGCAAAAATCGCTGCAAAGCGATTTCGTCGCTATGCAATTTTAAAAAGCCCATAGGAATGCATTGAAACCCCTTCAATGTGTTCCTATGGGCTTAGAACTCACCTTAAAGCGAAAATCATCCCGTATATAAAGGTAATAGCTTGTTCCTATAAGTAAGTTCTGGATTGATGGCACAAAACACAATTTTAACTCCCACATGAGAGGAGAAAGAGCAGGGATTTGTGTGTGTGATAGGGTGTTTTCTTATTATGAGCAGCATTACCAAAAAAAAAAAAAAAAGTGTGTTTTTTGGGGGAAATAAGTACCTACATTTGAGCAAAATACACATTTTTTTGCACAAAAGGCAAGGATTTTCAGACTGCAAAGTTTTTTTGCATGCCGTTGGAGGTGGTGGGGGGGGAGAGATTGCAACAAACATTCTAAAATGGGGAAAGAAAGAAAAAAACCAAACACTTTTTTCAAGCACGGAGGGAACTTTCTGCCTTTTTATCCTCTTCTGTGGAAAAAAAAATAAGCAGAGATTTACAGTGATAGATGAAAATGCTATGATGTGTACTGCTCCTAGCAGTGCTGAAGGTCCAATATGAAGAGACAGGGAGGAGCACA